CCTGCTCAGAACAAAAAGCAACTATGGGCAATATATTTCCAAAATATGATGTAAGAAGAGAATTTGAAGATTTAAAGAGTAATTTGAATCAAGGCAATATCCCTGAAGTGGCAGATGAATATAGAGGATATTTGAATAAAACGCAAAACCTGCCACTTAATATTGCAGTTGTTGGAAAGGCGGGTGCTGGTAAATCCTCCTTCATTAATGCCTTCTGGAGAATAAATGATGATCATGAGGAAGTAGCTGAGGTCTGGATTGCAGAGGAAACCAAAGAGCCAAAGGCACATCCCCACCCTTCTCTTCCCAATACAACGATATGGGAGCTACCGGAGATCAGAACGTGCAATTCTAACGCAGCTGAATATCTCAAGAAGGTCCAGTTTGAAAGATATGATGTCTTTGTTTTGATCGTCACTGACCGCTTTACTGAAAACGATGCTTTCCTGGCCAAGGAAATACAAAGAAGGAGAAAGAAGTTTTACTTTGTGCGTAGCAAAATTGATATCAGTATCGAAGGTGAAAGGAGGAAAAGGAATTTCAACATGGAGCAAACCCTGGAGACCATCAGGAATTATTGTGAAGATACTTTGAAGGAGGCAGCTGAGCTCTCCGCAAGAGTATTTCTGGTATCCAATCTGCATGCACACATGTACGCATTCCCTCTCCTGCGAGAGACAATGGCCACCGAACTTCCTGATTACAAGAAGCACCTTTTAACCCTGGCTGTGCATGTTTTCTCAGAAAATAATTTGATGAAGAAAAAGATTTGCATGAATTCCTATATAAAGAAGTTAGCGCTGGTATCTTGTGTTTGTGGAGCAGTGCCTGTGGTGGGTCTCTCTATAGCTTGTTATATTGGAATCCTGATGCTTCCACTGAAATGTTTCTGGAAGGTGTTTGCCTTAGACCAGAGGTCCCTCCGTTTTCTGGCACTTCAGACGGGAAAAGGATTTGAAGAGCTAAGATCGGGGATTAAGAAAAGGCCATTAGCCAATACAGTCAATACACAGCTAGCATTTTCTCTCCTGATAAAGTTTGCTCCCTGGGTAATGCCATCACCTCTGAAATATCTGGAGATGGTGTTTGGTGGAGGGAGTTCATTTGTTTTTACGTATTATTTTCTAAACAAATTTCTTGACAATTCTGTGGAAGATGCCCAAAGTGTTCGAGCAAAGTTTCTTAAATGACTGAAGTCCCTGTGAAAGATCCAAGGAACCATCAAGCCTCCTTTGAAGGAGATAATTTCATCCAGACAGGAATAGGGGGAAGAAAATAATAATATATTTCAGTGCCTAGTTAGAATTCCTCTCTCCAGTTACTTGTTTTCTTGCTTCTTTTAGTGATTCTCCAACTGACATATGTGCCTGAATCTCTTAAGAGCAAATAAGTATCTCTGTCTACAAATGTTTTCCTGGGAAGTCAGAAACTAAATGTTTATTTCTGTTGTTTGGGGTAATTGTTTTCTTTTCCTGTTTTTTTCTTTTTCTTTTCTTTTCTATTTTAACAATGATAAATAAAATGGAGAATTTATTATTAAGCTCAAAAAAATCACAGTTGTTTTAAAAATATCATTAAAAAAACCTCAATGTATTCTGCTTATGATATTGCATTCATTATTATTACAATGAAGATCTCCCAGAATTCCTCAGCCAGCATGCTGGTTGTTGAAGTCCACAAATGCTGGATGGAGAGTTCTGGGAATTGAAGTCTACATCTTTCAGTTCTGGGAATTGAAGTCTACATCTTTCAGTTTCCCAGATTGAAAAACCCTGTGCTAGTCCCCCACAACTCTGGCTTTATTCGCTTCAAATGAAATGCTGGACTCTCCCTGCTCTGAAGAACGGAAGAAGGCACCATTAAAAAAACAGCTTTGGGCTAAAAGTGGAAAACATGGGATCAGATGCCTTTGACAGGAATGTAAGGGGATGTGTAGAAGGTTGAACTTCCAGAAGAGAAGTGTTCTATGCAAATTACAAGGGCATAATTTATTTTTCCTTTGCCTCAGTGCCAGGTGCACAAGTTTGGCACACAAGCAATTGCAGAGGGGAAAAGGCAAAACACATTCAAATGACTTTCAGTTGGGCCTATAGTCTTTGTGGGCATAAAGTATAACAGAAGTCAGAGCAGGGAGATAAAGTGATGGTGACTGTCTAGGGCAGGGGTAGGCAGCCTTGGCTCTTTTATGACTCATGGACTTCAACTCCCAGAATTCCTGAGCCAGCCATGCTGAGGGGAAAGGGAGGGGTTTCCATACTAAGCCATGCTGGCTCAGGAATTCTGGGAGTTGAAGTCCACGAGTCATAAAGTGGCCTAGGCCTAGGTAGGCAACCTTGGTTCTTTTATGACTCATGGACTTCAACTCCCAGAATTCCTGAGCCAGCCATGCTGAGGGGAAAGGAGAGTTTCCAAGCTGAGCCATGCTGACTCAGGAATTCTGGGAGTTGAAGTCCACGAGTCATAAAAGAGCCAAGGTTGCCTACCCCTGGCCTGGAAGATCTCAGTAGTCAGGTTCATGGTTGTCCCAAAGGTGCTTTTTTCAAAGGCAATGGACTTTCTGTGTCTTTTTTCTTTTTTTGAAGCTGTTTCTCTTCTCATCCAAGAAGCCTGACTCAGCTCTTTCCATTCCCCACCATCCAGTCAGAGGCTTGAAGAAGCTTCTTGATAGAAGAAGCGAAACGTCTTCAAAGAAAAACAAGAAAGTCCAGTTGCCTCTTGAAAAAGCACCTATGGGATGGAGTGATGCGTCTTCTAGGATTGGCAGGAAGTGTTAATGGGCGGTGACTAGATGAGAGAAGAGAGGTTAGAGAAGTAAATTTAAGAAGTCAGGACAAGACGCAAGGAGAGAGAGAGGTTAGAAACAAAACAATAAAACAGATGGTATCAAAAAAGAGGTGACTGGAGGGGATGTGGGCCAGGGAGAGAAGGAGCTGGAAAGGCCAGGGACTAGACCATCCATGCTCAGAGGTGACGTAGAAGCCAAATACTCAT